CATATTACAGGAAGTGTTCATGGGTGTGCACTTCAGTGAAAAAGGATTTAAAAAGTAAGACCAATAACTGAGCTGTTTACAAGAGATACAACTTAAACATAAAATCATAGATAAGTGGTAAGTAAAAATGATAGAAAATAATTATTATGCAAACCCTAATCATCAGAAATTTGGTGCAACTATCTTAACATCAGACATAGTGAACTTCAAAACAAGGGGAGTATTACCAGAGATAAAAAGGGGTCCTTTATTATGACATCAGGGTCAACTGGTCCAGAGGACATAGCAATTCTAAATGTGAAAGTACCAAGCTTCAAAACACAGGACACAGAAAACCTGACAGGACTAAATGGAGAGATAGACAGAGCCACAGTCATATGTATGAGTCACAATCTCCAACTGAGATTTTTTCTCTACTCTTTAGTAGCTGCTAGTAAAGCAGACAATAGGAAGTAGAGAGGATATGGAGACCCTGGACAGTGATTCAGCCTGGTAAACATTACACATTGCGCATGTCAAACACATTTTCAAGTACCCATGGAATATTCATTAAGAAAGACTGTTGAGCTATATAAAAGAAGTCTAAAATTTAAAAATTTGAATACAGAATATTCTGTGGCCACAATTAAATTGTCAGACATAAATAATAAAAAATAAATCTAGAAAATCCCTGAGATTTTTTAATAAAGTAGCACACCACTAAACAACCCATGAATCAAAGAAAAAGTCACAGAGGATTAGAAAACATGTAACTGAACAACAATGAAAATACAACATAAGAAAAAAATGTTACCTCTAAAACAGTAATAAAAGTGAAATCGATAGCTTTAATTGACCATGCCAGAACACAAACTTATTTCCATTTCAAAGTGGGAATAGAAATAAAATAGATTTCAATATGGAATTTCATTTTATAGCATCTTTGTTCAGAATGAGTCTCTGAATTGGGAAGTATTTGTAAACCAGTGAAACTAAATAAAAAGGCAACTACAGAATAGAGCACCAGAGGGCACTATTATCTAACATGCAGGAAAAAGCTTTCATTGTGGAAAACTTGAGTATTACCTCTGCAACAGACCTGAGATAGCACGGAGGTTTGTATCCCTTTATTTTTGAGAGTAAGACAGTTGAGTCCACAGGGAACAAATTAGTTGCCAAACAGCACACAGATAATAGGAATCGTATTAGAACTAGAACCCAGCCTCCTGATTTCTCATGAAAGCAGAGACAGACCCAGACTTTCCTATAAGGCTTATGGCCCTGAGTTCTGTTCAGCTACTGAGCTGTCTGCCTGGAGCTGCCTGGCTGTGGGGAGAGGCGGGTAAGGAGGGAGGAAGCACGAGTTCTTTGGGGAAAGCCTGCCTGAGTGCAAAACCTGGAGAGCGGCAAGCGCAGGCCAGTGATGGAGCAGCTAGGGACTGGTGGCATTTGAGCCCCAATAAGCTGTGCTTGAAACTAGTGACTGCTTGGGTGTTTCAGTTGTGCAAACTGGCACCAGCTTTCACCCATGGGTAACCACTAGTGGGACTGAGATAATCGTCACTTAGGTCTTTGTCTGTTCTTGAGCTTAGAAATTGAATCATATTCTTTTTTTTTGTCTGACTTCTGAATGTGACATTTCTGAGATCACCCATGTTATCTGTAACTGTTCTTTCTTTTCCATTATTGTGTTATAGTCTATTGCTCTTTTTTTTTATGGAGGTATAATTGATGTATAACATTATGAGTTTCAGGAGTACAACACGATTTGATAGTTGTACACATTGTGAAATGATCACAAGTCTAGTTAGCATCCAACAGCAGTCACAAAAATGTGGTGTTTTTTCTTGTGGAAAACTTTTAAGATCTTGCAGCAACTTTCAAATAAGCAATACAGTATTATAAACTATAGTCTCCATGCCGTACACTATAAACCTATAATATATTTATAACTGAAAGTTTGTACCTTTTTATCCCCTTCACCCATTCACCACCTCTGGCAACCACCAATTTATTCTTTGCATTCACGAGCTTGAGTTTTTTGTTTTTGATTCCACATGCAAGTAAGATCATATAGCATTTGTCTGACTTATTTTACTTAGTGCAATATTGTTGCCAATGGCTAGATTTCACTTTTCATGGCCAAGTAATATTACATTGTATATATACTACATATTTATCAATTCATCCATTGATGGACATTTTGGTTGATTCCATAATTACCTTGGCTACTGAAAATACTGCAATGGACATAGGGGTGCAGATATATTTTCAAGGTACTGTTTTCATTTTCTTCAGAATTGCTGGGTCGTATGGCAGTTCTACTTTTAAGTTTTTTAGGAGCCTCCATACTGCTTTCTATGTGACTGTACCAATTTACATTCCCAGCAACAGTGCCCAAAGTTCCCTTTTTTCCACATCCTCATCACTTTTATTCTAGTCTTTATCAAACATCCATTTGAACAGGTGTGGAGTAGGTGACATCTCATTGTGATTTTGATTTGCATTTCTCTCATGTTGGTGATGTTGAGCATCTTTTCAGATACATGTTGGTCACCTGCATGTCTCCTTTGGAAAAATGTCTATTCAGATCTCCCCCTTATTTTTTAAATGATTTTTTATTGTATTTTTTCCATTGTCACTATCCCCCTTATATCCTCTTCCACCTCCATCCACCCCCACCCCCCACAATCACCAAACTGTTGTCTGTATCTATGAGTTCTTTTTCTTTTTGCGGATCTGCCTATTTTTAAATAGGATTGCTTGGGAGGATTTTTGGTTTTTTTGCTATTGAGTTGTACGAGTTACTTATATAATTTGGATATTAACCCCTTATCTGATATATGACTTGTAAATATTCTCTCCTATTTAGTAGGTTGCCTTTTCATTTTGTGGATGGTTTCTTTTGCTGTGCAGAACACTTTTTAGTTTAATGTAGTCCCACCTGTTTTTCACTTTTGGTGTCAGATTTAAAATAAATCACCAGACCAGTATGAAAGAGCTTACCACCTACGTTTTCTTCTAGAATTTTTCTGGTCTCAGGTCTTGATTTTCAAGTCTTTAATTCATACTGAGTTAATTTTTGTGGATGGTTACGATAGTGGTCGTTTCCCCAATGGCATTTATTGAAGAGACTACATTCTTGGCTTGTCATAAATTGACCATGTATGTATGGATATATTTCCAGGCTCTCCATTCTGTTCTTTAGGTCTGTGTATCTATTTTTAAGCCAATACCACACTATTTTGAGTATTATAGCTTTGCAATTAGTTTGAAATAAGAACAAAGTTGGTGGCACCATTGTTCGTTCTTAGTGCATCTTCCATACTTAGCTGTGTAATGTTTCATGTCATAGAATGTTAAGAGTGAAGGGGGCTTTAGGGATTATCCAGTCTATTTCAGCTCCATTTAACAAGAAATGTGAATGGGCTAAAGAGTGTATCTTTGCCAGCCAAGGCCGCCCACCCAGGTTTCACTTCTAGTCCAGACCTCATCAGCTCCCTTAAAATTTACACTTTTCTAAATATCGCTTGGCATGTATGTTCAGAGAATGTTAAATATTTACACAAGCATAATGGAGAGGAGAGAGCAGCTGGCAGAGCTCAGTGGCTTATCTTCAGGGACAGTGGAGAGAGACAACCTAAATAAAAAGCATATTAGCAGCACCTCTAACCACCTTGCAATTAAGCAGCCTATTTAGTTCTGAAAAGGGCCCCTTATCTATCCAGAACTGTGAAAGGCCTGGCATCAAAAGGCTCACTTCCTGTGGTTCCTTCCCCCAAGTCGAGCACTACTAGCTGCCTGGATGCTTTCACCTTCTCTCTGCAAGGTTTCAGGTCCCCAGAAATCTACCTACAGCTCAAGTACAGCCTAACCCACACCACATCCTGGATTTCCACATCTCACTTGGTTAATTTTTCATCAGGTGGCCATTTAGATGGGAGTGGCCAAGGCAAGCTCCCTCCATTTCTGAAGGGAAAGGCTCACTAATAGCTTCAGGGATGAGCCAAAAGGGAGGGGCACAGGCATCCTGGAGCCGGGAAGAAACCTCTTATTAATTCAGGAGAAACTGATGGGCAGGAAACTGGGCTTTGGGTTAGAAGTGCGGTGGGTTAAGTTTATTCTGAGGGTCTCAGAGTCTTCGCTGGGCCACTGAGGAGGGAGCCCGTTAACTTATCTTAGTGTTTCCAGCTCTGTTCCTAAAACTTGAGTCCTCAAGCTGTGTTCAGGCGATAAAGCTCAAGAAGGCGGAATTCACTTTGTCTTCTTAGAGACAGAGTACTATTTATTCCCTGGTTTTTAGCAGCAGAAAAATCTAGATACATTCCATTAATTGAAAAGCAAGTACCATCTGAAATGTACAACTGATGTGTCTAAAACTTGGGCATGGAAAGTGATCAATCCGCGTCACTGGGTGTGGACCACAGACCAGCAGCAGGAGCATTACCTGGGAGCTTACTAGAAATGCGGAGACGTGGGCACCACCCCAGGCTGACTGAGCCAGAATGTGCACTTGAATAAGACTCCCAAGAGATCTGTAACCTGACAAGCACAACCCCAGGATCATTCAGGTAAAGTTATAGCTCTGAAAAAGGTAGATTGGCCCCAGGAGGAACATCAGTACAGAACTCAGGTGTGAGAAAAGGATGTGGATGCAAAGCCAGGGGTTGAAAACAGCTCTCTTGGGGGACTTGCTGATTCTCAACTAAGTGCCCCCCGCTTGGATGGGAGTGTGCAACAGCACCCAGGTTGTTCAGCGTTCCCTGGGTGGCCACTGGCTCCCACAGGCAGCAGATTTGGGGGGGGGGGGGGAAGCACTTCCAGTGTCCCAGCAGTCACTTCGGTAGAACATCAAGTCCCTCCCTTCCTCCTTACAGGGGCTGACAGCTAGTAGAGGAGATGAGGCATCTGTTTTTGTTACTATTCTTTCCAAAAACATCTGAGGATTGCAATGAAAAAGATAATTTCACAGAACATCTGAACTAATTAAAAAAATGAATCCCAACACACACACTTGAAAGTTTTCAGACTGTTAATTCCATTCTTTATTTCCTCATACCACAAACACTTTAGTTTATCTTCCTTTTTACAACCTGATTTACAAGCAAATTGAAATGAAAAACAGGCATTCTTTAATCTTCCAAAATACAAGTAAGAAATATAGCATAGACCCTAGTATTTATACATAAATAGGTTTAGCAGAAGCAGCTTTAACACAATCTGGTAAAATTAGCATTATAGTTTAAATATTGATGCCTGTTAAGGTTTGCATAATCTATGATACATAGTTATTTCTGAAGCAGATAAGACTTTTAACTAATTGGAAAAAAAAACCTTCAACAAAATGCTCTAACAACAATTATGTGAAACTTAAATTATTTACAATTAAACATTTAGAGCCCTGATTCACAAACTTAGTGCACACCATGATTTATGTATGAGTTTCACAGACAGTAATAAGCATCATGTAGACTATCTGCCAGGTAATGTCTAGATTGTCAATATGCTTACTGGAAACTGAAAAAGTAACAAAACAGACACTTCAGCAACTGCCCTTGATCTGCAAACTGAAACACACAGCAGCAACCAGAATAGACATGGGCCACATCAGGAGCCCTGGTGTCATTTTCGACAACACTCTGTGGATTATGCACAGGAGGAATCCCCCCCCCCACTTAACAACAGACTCACCCCAATAATCACTACATGTGAACTCAGGGTAACAGGTTCCTGCCTTCCTACAGAGTTCCCTATACACTTAATGCCTGAATCAAATATATCAAATAAAGACAGAAGTATTGTATCTTTCCTAACAGGTATCTGTTCAACGGTGGCGAAAGTTTGGAGCAGGGTAGGGAAATGGCTAGCTATTCCCATCACAGCAGAAATGGATAAGGTGCCAGAAATCCAGGGTTAAGTTACCCCTGAAGTCCTTCAATGGATTCAAAGTGATTCTGCGTACAAAGCAAAGGTGATGACTCAAAGAAAATTAACAAGATGAACTGTTTTTAAAGTGAAATAATAAATTTCAGTGAATCAGGCTCCAGGTAAAGTCTTAAAAAAAAAATTTACAGTAAACATTGTGAACTCTGGAATGCAGGTATAGTACAATTACTAGTACATCACATTCACGAAACTGCTCAGACAGTTGTTGCTCCAGAGTATGAATTCAAAAATGTACAAGCCAGTTCACAATGACTTTAGATGTGTTAATAAAATACACTGTTAATCATAAAAATACTTTACTATGTACATGTTCACTGTATAAACTCTAGATTTACCTACTGACGGAAGCCTCGAACCCACTTGTGGCCGACGGCCCGGAAACAGCGCAGCCCGTATCTCGGCTCTCGCACCCCGCGCTGGCCGAGAGACTGCAGCCGGCTCTGCAAAGAATGGCCACACGTCCTCCCTTCCGCAAAATGTCTAGTTGGAAGAGTCAGTTTTACTTCCACTATATTTCACTTTCCTAAACGCTGGTCCAAGTAATTCTGGGCACTCACGTAATTCATTTGCAATTTGGTTACACTTTAAGATAAGGCTGTAGTTCATTTTATCAGTTATTACACTGTCTTGCTTGTAGTCAGGATGGTTTGCGATAAACTCCCTCATCCACCTGGCAACTGTCATTAGCTCTCCTGAAAAAAGAAATTTAAAGACACTTTAAGTTAATAGTAGGGCTTTTTGAAAATAAGTTGACATTTATTTAGTGGCCAGGAAAAACACAATCCTGAAGAAAAATCGGTTTGACCTTTTGGTGTAGCCAGATGGCAGGGGCTGGGGAAGAAGAATTTCAGGGTGCAGGCAGGCGCCAGAACACATCCATCCCATTGCTACCTGTTAGATGCTCCCCAGTGACTGACCCTGTCCACTGGTGAGAAACGGGAGCCAACTCGGGTGCCAGGACAGGGGTCCTCCCATCTGGCCAGGGGGCTAAGACCATATATGCTGGTTGGTGCCATGAGACTATCTCAGGACGGCAGGTCGAATTTTCCAGAGTGATCTTTGGTCAAAGATGTGGAGCAAATAACTAGTAAGTAGAGTGGGTGAAGAGAGAAACTGGCAGGTATGCCATTTGGGGGGCATGTCTTTGTGACTGCAGAAGGTTTAGAGAAGGCTCAAGTGAAATCAGATGCCATAACCGCCATCGCTGTTGCTCTTCTCACAGCTGACTGCTCCCCTAGGCCCGGTCAATGGGAGCGCCTCTCAGCTAGTAAGGCGAGTTGCTGGGGGTGCTTGCTGTACGCATGCAGGCTGATGACCCACACGCCCTAGCTGTGTTGCTCCTTTAGCCTCCGGAGTTACTGAGCCCTGAGAGAAGAGCCCGTGACAGTGCAGAGCGCACCCGGCCAGCCTTTGGTGACAGACAGGGCCCTCTACATACTGTGTGGCATTGTCTACGATGCCACCAACTTAAAAATGGATCTGTTTTATGAACCAGTATTAAAAAAAGAAAGCACTGCTAATTAAGCTGTGACTGTCGAGAGTTATAAAGTATATCTGACTGCAGAGATGTCAAATGTGAAAAGGCGTGCACTGATAAATGCACCTCTTGAAAGACCACTTTAAGAAACAGTACTGTAAGCCTGTGAGGTTCTGCCTACATTATGAGATTTTTTTTTAAAAGAAGAAGAGAAAGCAAAGGATACCATACCAGATGCTCTCTTCTTAATCAGCTTTAGGTAGTTCAGAATACTGCATCTGGTGTCCACATCCACTTCCATGCTTTCAAGGTAGGAGTTCAGAATCGGGATCAGCCCAGGAAACACGCCTTCCTACAAGAAGCAGGACATGCTGTCAGCCCCTCACCCGTGGGTGTCGTGGTGAAGGGTGCTCACAGGAACCCTACCTTCCCGTTGATGATGGTGTCGATGCTCATCAGGGTGTACTCCTCTGTGGCCAGCTCCGGGCTGTTCTGGGCCCTGCCACAGCCATCCACCACAGCGTTGCCGCCTGCAGGGGGAGAGCGGAGTGGCAGAGAGAAGCTTTTAGGGGCTTGGTGTAGCCTAAAGTGACCCGAGAAATCCCAGAGAACGTACCTTTGCAAATATCTTTCCTGAAATAGAACATTCCCTGCCGAACAGCATCTCGTCTCTGCGCTACTTTCATGTTTTCGTCAACCTGAGGGAGAAAACAGTCATGGCTAAGGCTGGGTCCCTTGACCGAACAGGGGTCAGGTCGTGCCTTCCTCACTTCTGTAGTCAGGACTCGCCCCCCTTTAGAATTCTGTCCTGTCAGTGCTCTCTGGTTGGAAGAACAGACTTTCTACTTTTATGTGGGGCCCTGTCACTCAACCACAAGATGGTATGTGCTTTTCAATAACAATGGGAAGTTCTAAGAGAAGCTTAGAAATAAAAACCCTACAATCACTAGGCTGCCTGCATTTCAAAGCACCTTTGTGAGGAAGCTTACAAGAAACTTGTCTTGTGTTGGTGGCTGGTTGTTTTTATACAATGGGTAAGGAAAGTCAGAGAACCCAGTTCTCCTGACTCCTCGTTCCACACTCTGCCCTCCCCTCCCCTGCAGTTTTGCTGCCCCCTCTGCTGTTGGATCTGGAACAAGGCTAGCCCTGCAGGGCTGGAGAGTCTCGAATGCTGTTTGCCCACCTAGTGGCACTTGCCACGTCAACTAATTCCTGAGGCCAAAAACTCTTCATTTGTGAATTTTCCATTTCTCCAGTAACTTTTTAAGACAAAGTAGAGCTTTTAAAACTTCTTAGAGTCCCTTATTTCCTATAATGAAATCTCAGGGAATCTCAATATATAAAAGACATAAGGTAGAGGGTAACATCAAACCAGCACTGGCAGTACAAAGTCTTTGCTTACTTAGCCTCTTTACTGTACTCACTAACTCTTATTGTTGTTGTCTGTGTGTGTGTTTAAACCTCATACCCAAGGATATGCCTGTTGATATTAGAGAGGGGAGAGTGTGGGGAGAGAAAGAGAGAAACATCATTAGTTGCTGCCCATAGGCACCCTGACTGGGGTTTGAACCTGCAACCTAGGTATACACCCTGACTGGGAAACAGACCCACAACCGTTGGTGTACAGGACAATGTTCCAACCTACTGAGCCACAGGGCCAGGGCTATTGCTTTGTTGTCTTTTTTTTTTTTTTTTTTTTTTTAAAGACACATATGACCTGAATAATCTAGGTAGTTCCAGGAGCATATTCAAACAGTCTAAAATTCCACCATGGTTATGAATGTTTTCATTTCTAATAATTTTTTTTAGTTCTAACAAAAGTGCTTAAGATCACTGCTTTTATTTTAATTTCTGCTTTTGTGAATTCCTTTTGCAAAGTATATTTTCCTATTGCTCTTTAGATCCTCACTTTGACTGCCTAGGTTTGTTTACTTTTCCATTTTTCTTTAAAGCATTTAATAGTGTAATTTTCCCCTCAGATTAGCTTTGCCAGCACCTCCCGGCCATTCACTTTCCTATACAATCTATAATTCTAGTTTTTACTTAATGTGAAACCAATTAGGAAAAACACTTAAATTTAAATTAACAGTTAAATTTCTCAACATCTTGTTGTTGTATCTGGGTGGGAATGCGCCCTGCATGGTATCTACTTTTTAGAAGTAAAGATTTTCCGTGATTAATTTTTCTAAACCTGCCTCAGGGCATCTGAATAAATGACGTACCATGGCACGAGACCTGCGATGAAGGTTGTGTAGCTTATTAACTGTGTCATTTCATCTCCCTGCAGCCTTTCTCCTTCTGTGTGGGACCTGTCAGTTACTGAGTAACACTCAAGGCACTCCTCTGCCAAGCGATGGACGTCCTTGACTCTGGCCTGGCTGACAGCCCCCACTCACCCGACCCTACACTTGCAAACCGAGGCACTGACAGGATAAGGAACCTGCCTGGGTAAGAAGCTAGTAAGGTGTACAGTGATTTATGAGTTTACTGCTCACACCAAAGTTGTGTCTTTCTTACCATACTACAGTGCTTTTAAATGCTGCCTCTGCTTCTCAGAACTGTGTACACTTTACAGTGTAAAAAGAATCACAAGCCTAACATTATCTTGGAAAAGCATAGAAAATCACTGTCTCTATTTCATTTAATACTTTTGATCTCAGATTTCATTTTCTGTTACTGATTTGTCATTCTGGCTATCTTTTTAAAGGTCACACTATGGAGATCTCTATTTTCCACGTTTATCCTTGTTTTCTGCCTATCATAGGCAAACAACATATGCCATCATGTGGCCATTTTATATCATGTCTTTTAGCATTTTAATAGAGTGTTCAGATCTGTTGTCTTCTTTCCTTTCTTGACCATTTTATGTTCTTGGAGCTGTCCTGTGTTACCATATCCCCGGCCCCACACCTCCTCTAAGGACTGGGAGGTTTCTTTCTTCTTTGCCCACCCCTTTTAGCTGGCAGGTTAAAAGTAGTAAATCCTACTTTTATACTATTTATGGTTTGTCTTATACTTTTAAACAAATAGTTTTAAAATTCTTTCTAAATGCCAAGCATTAAAGAGCATCTACCACCCCTCTCCTTCGCTATCCCTTCACGAGATAAGACTTCCAGCATACTTTTAGCCCTAATAGTCTATTAGGTTTTGTTAGAATAACCTGAGATTTAAAGAATAATTAGTCTTGGAAGAAAATTCAATGGTTGAAATTCTTAATCCCTCAGGATTCTGAAGACTTTTCTCAATCTCTTTTAGTATTTATGTTTTAGATGAGAAGTGATATCAATTGATTTTTCCTCCTTCTTGACAGCTACCCTAATTTTCTCTCCTATTTAGACAGCTGATTTTTTTTTCCTTTGAGATTCAGAAAGTTCTAGATTTAGATTTGTCTTTAAATATTTCTGTCTCAACCTTAATGGACTCTCACAGGGAAAATAACTGTCTTATTTCTATGACTATTGTATCTCGCATCTCTTTTATGTTGACCATTCTTTTCTTTTAAATTATTATACAAACACTGAACTTTCCAGAGTGATTCTCCATGTTTGGTTTTCCCTTTCATTCCTTTGCCACCTGCTGGGATGAATCTCAGTTTGGTTTCCTAAATGACTGACTTTGATCTTCACTGACACCTGCCCTACTGGTGCACATACTGGGTTTTAAATGGGTGGCTGCCATGTTCTTTGTTTCTGACAACTGTCCCCCAAATGCTCTGTGGTCCACAGTCCTTGTTTGTTTCATGGATGTGACCCCTCTCTAGAATTTCTTATAGGGCACTAGTCAAAATTTCTTAGCCCTGGCTGGCGTAGCTCAGTGGATTGAGCGCGGGCTGGGAACCAAAGTGTCCCAGGTTCGATTCCCAGCCAGGGTACATTCCTGGGTTGTAGGCCATAACCCCCAGCAACCGCACATTAGTGTTTCTTTCTCTCTCTCTCTCTCTCTCTCTCCCTCTATCCCTTCCCTCCCCAAAAATAAATAAATAAAATCTTAAAAAAAAAAAAAGTTTAAAAAAAAATTTCTTTAGGAGTTCTTTCCAATTTCTTGAATTAACTATGTTTCACTAGGATAACATACTCGGCAGGCCCAGCTGGGCCCTTCTCTTTAAGGCTATTAAAAGTTCTTAGTTTTCTATTGACTTTCAGACATCTAACTATTTATACTTGTAAACAAATGTTTAGACTGGTAGCTTTCACAGACTGTCTCAGATGGGTTTCTCTCCCGATCAGAGCAAGCAATGTGGGCCCACACGATTCTGTGGCCACCACTGGCCTGGATGGGAAGAGCACACAGGGACAAGCTGACTGCCAGACTTCCTTCAGGTGTGTGGGTGGGACAGGTGCAGGCTGGAGCACCCTCCAGGAGGCAGGAGGGAAGAGGGAGCAGATGCCAGGCTAGGCAGTTTTCTTCCTCCTTCCACACTTGCTGTGACAGGGCTGCTCTGCTTCTTTCTCTGCGCTAGCACCTCAGCAAATATCTCACTGTGCCCACCAGTGTCTCCAGCCACTCTCTGTGCCAAGACACCTACTGCCCAGGAACTGGAGGCCTCCCTCTATTTGCTGCCTGTTCCAAGGCTCTGCCTGGAAACTGCTTCCAGCAAGCTCCTTGGGCTGGGGCTGATTAACTCTGATCTGTTTTTCTGATAGTGCAGGGTCATCTACATTCTCCAGAAACATCTCTAGTTTGGTTCCACTGAGGTGACTGCTCTCTGCATATTTTCTTCTCCCATCCTAATTTTCATACCAAAACCAAAATGAGATTTGGGGGAGAATGAAATCAGTTTGTGGGACCCACTCTAGCCATCATCTTTCAAACAGGCTGAGTAAGAACTAATATTAGCACTTTCGTTTTTCAGGAGTCTCCACCAATGTATTGTAGTACCAAAATCTAGAGCATAAAATTAGGTTTAAAAGGGAAAAAAAGATAGGGTGGAGGGAGAAACATTTTATTCTACAGAGTGAACAATTCTAAATGAGGTCAGATTTAAAATGCATATATATATATATGAACAGAATAATCTACACATATCTAGAATATTATGGTACTGAAATACATCTTTACCTTTGACAGTGGAATGAGAAAATCCAGTTTGTACGAAAGTATCACTCTGGTGAGCAGCACCACAAACACCACATACGCAGAGTTCTCGAAGTCTGTTAACTGAACCTGGACAAGCAGGAGCCCAGAAGGGTTACAGACCAACCACACAAACGTGCTGTTCCCCAACAAAGCCCTCTGTGGGTCACGTCACTCCCTAACTCCCCATCTGCCCACAATCTATTCTCAGAAATCAATCCTCCTTAGCTTTTGGACTTGCTTATAGCACGCACACACTTGATTTGTATGGCCTTCCGACTAATTTAAGAGCCTCTGAGAAGAGCACCAGAAGGGTGGTGGGCAGTCAGAAGACAGGTTCACGTGAGTTGGTTCCCGCTGTCGCGTGTCTTACCTCCATGGGCCGGAATTCTACTCTCCATCCAATATCTGAGTTCGGAGGAGGAGGCTTAAATCTCATTGTCTGCCAATTTGTGGACTGAATATTCTATAATAAAAAGGCAGAGAATAAAACCACCTTTGTATAGGTCCAAAAAAATACTAAGATGATTTGATCTTTGATGAGGGAAGACTGTTCACTGTCCATACCTAATACTCTTCAATTTACAGTTATAAAAAGGTACAATTAAAGATTTTCTTGGAGTGTGACCTGCTAGGAAAACAAACAGCAAGCGTTCAACAAAAGTTGGGTGGTGTGTTAGCAGCACTGAAGTGACTGCTCAGGTTATTTTTACGCAGCATGTTTGAATGTTTCACCATTATGCAAACAAGAGAAAATACTGAACAAGAAATTCAGAATCAGAAATATAACCTGTATGAATCATAATAAAAGCACTTGAAACCGATTTAAAATTTTCCTTAGTTCTTTACTGCACTGGGTAACGTAAGGCATATGAGATTTCTACTGTCACTAAGGTATAGAAAACTGCCTCCATCTTGGTTAGTGAAATAAAAATGCATTTAAAACAGGAAATACCTCAAAATGGTCAGACTCATTGGCATCATCCAGGTGTATTTTCTCCTCAAACAGAGTCAGTGGGTCTCTAATAAAGAGATGAGCGACGTGCTGGGCCAGGAGATGATCAATGCCTGCAAAGAGAAGTCATGCTGGACTCACTTCAAAGCTCAAGACTCCACTGTTCTCTAAGCTCCGTAAGAAGACAGGACAGCTCAGGAAGTTTGAAGAGAGGGCATCTAGAAGCGTAGGCAACGGCTGGTTTGTTTAGTGTTCTATTGTGGAGGATTTTATCCTATGGGCCCTGGGGAAGTGCCAGAGTTTCACTCACTACTTACACAATGCCTGCTGGGGCACTGAGGTGGACCTAGATACAGACCTCCAAAGTAAGTTCCTTTTGCTAAAAGTCAAGTAGATCTCACAAGTGTTTGGAACTTGAAACTTTAGGAACAAGCAGCCTCCTAAGAAAAGTTAGAGACTTCACACTAAAAACAGAAACCAGACCAGGAGTCAGCAAAAAAAGTTTAAAAGAGCTTTGAAGAACTGAAGGCATACAATAAAAATCTAGGAAAAAAAGGCATGGATGCTCACCTTCCTGTAACAGCTGTTTGTAGATTTCTTTATCTATTGTCAAGTCAATGTCATTGTATTTCTCGCCACACTCAGATAAATAACTGTCTATTGAGTCATATCGGGATTTACTAATCCGATAGTTATTGTTCTTCAGTGGCTAAAATTAAAAACATGTGAGTGAATGTCATATAAAATCATCTGGAAACAAACTAATGCCCCAAATAATTATATTAAAAATGCCATATGTTTTTATATATAATAATTATATAAAAGCATCCAAACTTAACATAAGACCCTGAAAGAAAAGTTAACATTGAAAAATACTGTTAGGAAAAATTATATTTAAAAAGCCTGGAGACAAATTAAGTAGCCATTTTCCCTGATATAATTTAAATATACTTTAACTTTTTTCTTTTTTAAAGCAGATCAACTTCATTCTTGTTAAACTTCAAAAGTGCCAAATTGACAACAGAAAACCAAAAAAACAAAAACAAAAAAATCTGTATAAACAGTTTATAATGTAAAACACAGCTATCAAAATGATTTTTCCTTTAAAATTCTTTCATTTTACCCTTACTGGTGTGGATCAATTGGTTGGGCATCATTCCACAAAGTGAAAAGACACCAGTTTAATTCCCAGTCCAGTCCCTGGCGTTTACAAGAGGCAACCAATCAATGTTTCTCTCCCTCATTTTAAAAATTTATTTATTTTCAGAGAGAGGGGAAGGGAAGGAGAAAGAGGGAGAGAAGCATCAATGTGTGGTTGCCTCTCATGCACCCCCTACTGGGGACCTTGCCCACAAACCCAGGCATGTGCCCTGACTTGGAATCAAACTGGTGACCTTTTGGTCTGCAGGCTGACAATCCACTGAGCCACACCAGCCGGGGCCAAAATAAATTTTTAAAAAGTTCATTTATTTTTAGAAAGCATGTTCAACAACTTATGAACAATTACATAAAGACCAGAGCACAGTTGCATGGTCCTGGTTGAGAAAATCAAGACTGATTATTTGTGAGGGCTCCTTTAAAAACACCTGTCAAAGTTCTTGTCCTGGAGATACTCATTAGGTCTAAGATGGGCCTGGGGGTCTGTTTTCCAAAGATCTCCAGAGGTGGTTGTGACGGACATTCTTGGATGGAGAAATGCACAGTCACAGTTCAACATGCAAACAAGAGCACTAACCAACCATTATTAGGCAAAACCTAACCCTTTTATCAGATAAAAAAAAAATCTTGGATGACACAGTACACTTTCCATAGCAGAAAGCATCAAAAACAAAGCACTCCTGTAGCACGATAAAGCCTTGTGGTAAAAACAGCCATCAGCAATGACTTCCAAAATGTTAAAAAAAGAAAACAAAAACAAAAACAAAACTGCACTATTAATTTGAAACAAATACAGATGTCAACAAATGATGAAAATTAATTCCCCACTCAAACCAAATCACATTTCCCACATATTCACCCCAAAACAAACACTATAAAGCCAAGACTACAAACAAAAAGAGGTTTATAACCCATAAATTTCACCCTATATGTGACTAACGTATTCAAGGCAAAAAGTTAAAGGAAACTTCAAAATCGCAAGTAGTTACAATAACTCCATTTTACCTGCTTGATATTAAAAGGCTATTAAGGAAAATCATTCCCACCTCCAGGCCTCTTTCCTCCCGAGTTCTATCATCTACAGATGCAGAAATCACTCCCCAGCGACAATCAATGTCTGACACATAGCCTCGGTAAAAAGGAGACGCAGCACTCAAAGCCATCTAAAAACAAACAAAAGTCAGCACCTGCAGGTTCAAAGTGTCACTTTCATGCTGAAAAAAGCTCCATGCAATTATCTCTGATGAAGAAGACTCAGTTATGCAACACATACAGAGCCCTACTACATTATCTGTGGCTGTTTCTCACAATGAAATAAATACACGAGAAGGGACTCAAACCTTTGGATCTGATCCATTTAAATCACCCTCTCTGTCATGTGAGGACATGAAGGATGGGAGAGGGAAGATGGTTACACTCGAACTTGACACTTTCACACATGAATGTCTTACTAGCAACAGTAAATGCCTACGGCTTAGATTCTTAGTCCATTGGCTCTTTAACTATTGTCTGTGTTAGTTCATTTCTGAATGAAGTCTTAACTGGACTTAAATAGCACATTCAGCAAATTCTGCACATGCGGTCTTTATTTTATACAAAGTATTTAAAATAAGATGTGATTTCTACTTACAACAATTGGGCAGATAGTGGCCAACTGATCATATAGGTATCTAGCCTCAGATATGCTGCAAGCCTGGAAGGTTACCTGTTTAAGAATTGCAAGTTATTAACAACAAAGAATGATTAACCTCCTTCCCCAAGGAGTGAAAGTCTGAGAAGGCGGCTTGAGAAGGAAGGGGACCTGGTATGTAGTGGTCATTCCACTAATGAAACATTTCATACAGGAGTTTTCTTTAAAAGTGGTCTTAGATGAATTGTGCTAGAAAATGGTATTTAATCATGTCCACAACAATATCAATGACCATGTTCCTAAGCTAAGTAAGATTTTAAAAGGTGAAGCCAGAAAAACAAGGCACTAGATAAATGATGAAGTTCAGTAAGGCATTTCCTCTTCTGTTGAAGAGGAATTCAGCTGTCTTTCAAGAGCTTCCCATTCACTTTAGTTGGCTGAGGGGTTATATAGGTTCTGGTACAAAAGGGATTTGGAGATGCTAAGGATGGGTTTCAAGTTCACTGGCAGCAGTATGAGGAATGGCTTAGAAGGGCAGCACTGGAGAGAGGCTGAACAGTTCAAACACTGCCACCAGCTAAGAAAATGTGGAGCACACCAGAATTAAAGCAGCAGGCTCTTTACAGATAGTGTAAAGAGTACAGATAGTGAGGGCTTGACTTAGGACTTGGCTTGGGTGTTCCCAGGACAGACGGAGGAAGAAGCACCATGACAGATGGGGTTATAAGCCAAAGATCAGACAAAGAGGCCCTATAAGTGGCCGGGCCCCAAGGCTGGTGCCTAGCAGAAAAACCTGAGCTGGGGAAATATTTGGGGAGTAGACTCAGATGATGTCCTGAAGACAGGCAGATCAGCAGAGTCTGTGCAAGGTGGGTAAGTAGTATGTTCAAGAGTTAGGCAAAGAAAAAGATCACAAAACAATTACTAGAAATACTCCATAAACAATTACCAAAAAGAAACTAAAAAAAATGTCCTACCTTCTTTGGGGTGGGAGCACTGGGCATGGTGGAGGAGCAGGGTTACAAACCGTGGTTGTGTTAGCACATCTGTATTGACTGGACATCGGGAACAGTTCTAATTTCCTCTGTTGTTGTTATTTAATAATGACATTTTTAATTTAGTGTGGATGCAGGAAATGATTTAAGTGCTTATATTTGAAGTAACAGCTGAGTGAACATGTTTATTGTGACAATCCCAGTATGTTAGATCCAATAGTTTTAGCTGGGTCTCAGCTTTGCCTTTCTTAAATGCTGAGAAACTGTTGGAGAGTCACAGGTGTGCCTGCTCAAGCACAGTGGCATTTCATGTCCCTGTGGTAACTACAGAAGACAACCACTTAGACGAGTTCTTGTAGCATAACGAACCAGCCACTACCGATTAATTCAACATTGAGTAGAGCTGTGTCATAGTCATCAAGGAATAGGAGTATGCATGGTTAAAACAGGTAAAGATTGAGAAGGACTGGAAATTAGGTCACTGATGACAAGAAGAAGGGTAGTTTCTGCAAAGAGGTAGGAACTCAGAAATCAGCTTGTGGCTGGGTAAGGGTTAACTGAGAAGTGAGGAGATGGGGAGGTGAGTAGAGTATTTACACACTCATCTGCTGTGACCCACCACAAAAAGCTCCAGCACAGCAGAGATCTATTGGCCTTGAGTTCTCGATCTCAAGTGTGCAGAACAATCTGACATCTACTTAGCATTTAATAGGTATTTATTAAATGAGCAGTACATTGTCTTGAAGGACAGAGGATGCTAAAGAGAACACAGGGACAAAGATAAGTTGTATTTTTATACAATGGCTGAAACACTGAAAAATTATGACCTTACGGGCCAAATATATTATAGTACCTAAATGTTCCCCAAGTGTTTTGACTGCTGAATTCTTCTGAATATGTATCTCTAGTTTATTTAGGTCTTACTTCTACACTTTTGAGTTTTTTAGTGTGTGTTTTACTTAGTTTTTAAGAAGATACTATGATAAGCATCTTCTCTCTTCAGTTTTTTGACTGGCTTCTCTGAGCTGGTCTAGTGCCTATCAGACGACCCACAGACAGATCCTGGAAAAGTCTGTAGAAAAGTGCACTTCAGAAAATCAGCACCTGGAATTCACAGTGGAGTCACAACAGTGAAGGAACTTATACTGAATCTATTTACTAACATCTATTTGCTGCCAAGCTTCCTCCTTATTCTAGAGGCAACACAGTCATTACCAAACCAAACGCGACATCACAGTGGATAACAGCGTTAGTCGGGGGAGGGAAAACATGTTCCCATACCTTAAGAAGGTGTGAATATATGAACAGTTGGCTTCCGGTATCCTCTTACAGTATATAAAGAGGAGAAGCAATGTCACTAGGAGACTGATGATGGGGGGAGGGAAACGAGGAAGTATAGAAAACAGATGTTAGAAACCTAAAGTATCTGGAACCCAGTTTGAAGGCACATGATTTTCTTGAGGGCGGGAGACCTCTCACAACATGCATGGACTTACTGACATGAGCTCACGAAATGACACCTGAAAAGCTCCCCAAGAGTCTAGAATCTGAATGTGGTTACAATGATTTTTTTGCTTTGTAAAGTAAATTTTCCATTAATTTTTAATTACTTTAAAACTATTATTTCTGCTTTACTGTAATAAGCAGTTTCTTGAGTTCCACTTGAGATTCAAAGCAGGATTTCTGTGTGGATTTGTGGAAGCTGTCCCGTTTGCCACACACTTCGCATTATCTGTGCTGATTTTTTTGAGTACTGAAACTGGGGTCCTTGATGTGCCACTGAGAAAAAAAACTTCATCTGGAACCCATGTCAAAGCTTAAACTGGATGGGAAACTAGCAATAAAAATGGTAACTCCTACCACTAGAACACATTTCTTTATCAAATACAGGATTTCAAAGGAAAGAACAGCCCTCTGGAACAGAAAAACTGTGATGTCCGTGGCAACACACCCTGGTTTAATATTAAACTGAGAAAAGGCAAGTGGTACCCCCATGGCACCCGAACGCTTTTAAAGCCGTGCACTCTAAGTTCTAGAGCTTAATGGTTCCCTTTGGAAATATTTGTAATTAAGATAGGAAAGCAGATATTCAGTTAACAGTCAAAAGGTCTCTTTTTTATGAAGTATAAACATTTGTAAGGAAACCTTCGGCCTATGTTTGTTTGTAAGCCACATATTTTATACTACCTACGTAGTCAGGAAAAAATTTTATCCTTGCCCTTGGTTACCAAAGCACATTCACATGGAAAACTCTGACTCTGGCATTCCATTTTGATACACACAGCTGTAAAAATAAACACAGCAGAGATATGTGCAAGAAGGTGTGTGTCTACGTTGCAGCTGCTTTGGGATGAGGGGATGCTGGGTTTCCTGGATGCTGCAGAGAGTGCTCAGGCTTGAGGCCCTGGGGGCCTTGCTTGGGGCCAGGCTCTGCACTACTCCAAGGACACCTTTCTAATCAGACGAAATAATTAGAACTAGATAAAATCTCCTTGGAAAATAATAGGAGACCTCTATTTTATTTTTCAACTTGAAAATTTTTATTTTTGAATTTTCAGCTCCTGTTCTAAATCTTTTAAATAAATTAAAGGTTAAAACAAATACTTCTGTTAATAAAAACAATGAAATAAATATTAGTTTGGAGTCAGACCTAGAAGGGGCCTTAATATAAACCCTTCTTTCAACTGCTGAGAAAACTGAGGCCAGAAGAGCTGAAGGAAGTTACCCAAATCCCTGGGGAGCCAGACCTGAGCACCCTCACTGCCCGGGGCACCGAAATCTGATTAGACCCAGAAAGGCCCTCCCACCTCCTGTGTACCCGAGCCAGGGGCAGAGCAAACTGGGGTTGCTGATATTTATTCTTCATCTACTGCTAGATGGCCTTGCATGAATATAAAAATTTAAAGTGCAAAGGGCCCTTGCATTACACCCATCAGAGTTCATTTTCCGAAATAAGAGATTCGAGCCATGTTTACAACCTCAAAGCTGCACTGTCACTATGCCACTAGATGGCAGCAAAAATTGGGCATCAGAAAGAACAGAGACAATGACCTGAGAGTATTTTGCATTTTAAGCTACTTAAAAACTACCTATGTTTGGAGTGAACGATAGAGTCTGTAAATTCTGTCGAGAGATAGCTTTCAGTGAATTTACTGAAATAATTTCATTGGTTTTCAGAAAGGCATGCTAGCTACCATTGCAACTTGATTAAATGTGATTTTTAAAAAGGAAGTACAAATACATAGAGAAATCACACACAGAAATGGGTGCGGGCACTCTGCCTTGCTGCGGGTTTGACACAATACCTGAAGACAGCAATTGCCCATCCCGAATCCCATGGCATCCATGTAGATATGATCTGGCTTTGAGGCCTTTGCTGCCTCATCATCCTCAGGAAATGTTTCTATAAATGGAGATGGTGTGTTCTTATCCTTAAATACTGCATTTGAAAAAATAAAGTAAAAAAGGAAATGGTGAGACCCAAGGATTCAACACCAATGCAACAGGGACCTCTCCCACAGCCACCTCCCCGTGGACCTACTTGGAACGTTGATGACAACCTTTTCTCCCCTCCTGTGTCGGATATTTCTTGTCAGGGTGCTGAAAGAGACACCAAATGTCATAAAATCGGTCACCAAGGATCCACTGTGTAAAAGATGAATTTGCTCATATACTAGTAAATGAATGAAATCCTATACCTTCAAACTACTTCTGAGGCCACTGTACAGGTAATTTATGTGTATTAAGATACTTTGAGGGATCGCTGAATGAGGGCTTCACCTTAATGCCGCTTCCTTGGGTGCTTACTCAAGAACACCACTCTCTCTCGCTGGCTCAATCCCTCCTTCCCTAGCTCCTCGTAACCCAGCAGGCCAAGTGTTTCACGTCTGCCCTGGTCAGGTCTCACCCTACCTTTCTGACACTCCCCACAGGAACCAAACTTTAGTACTTGTTCTCCCTAGGCCCCAGTGTCTCTTTACTCCCACCCCAACCTGAGGCTTTAATACTTATCCCCTAGATCTGCAACGTTGAATCCGGAAACTACCGGGCAAATGTGGCTACCGAACACTTGAAATGTGGCTAGTTCTATCAAAATATGCTGTGTGGTTAAAACACACCAGATTTTGACAATTTAGTACAGAAAACTTTCTTATACTTTTTGAAATACTGAGATTACAAGTTGAAATGGTATCTTAGATATATAGGTTTAAATAAAACATTATAAAAGTAAGTCTCCATTATTTCCTTTTCAAATGTGGCCACTAGAATATTGAACTGTGGCTCACATTCTGATTCCACTGGACAGCGCTGCTGTAGACTCAGCTTACGTGCCACCTCTTCCAGGACGCTGCTTTGGTCCCTTCAGTCAGAAGCACCCTCCTTTCTCCATGGAGTACCCCTGGTGCTGCCACTTTTTAACACAGTGATAATCTATCTTTTTTTTACAGCTGAATATCTATCTGTTTTTTCCCTTGGCACATTCTAACATTTGAAGTTGGGAGCTATGTCTGTAAACCTTTGTCTCCCCCACAAGACTTTGCATATGGCAAGTGTGCAGGCTTCTTTAAAAATGAATACTGAGAAGTCCCAACATCCCCAACATCTAGGTCAGGCTCCTGGGTTCAGGATGATGGGTGAGACTCAAGGTACAAAGCCAAGATCAGACTGGTGTGGGCCCTGAAGTAACTTAAAACCTAAGAATAAACTACAAACTAATAGAGCTAGAGAACAGAATAGAAGGTAAAGAGTACCTATGATATGCATATGTACATATTTTACATTATCAAGGTAGAGTGGGATATGTAGATCACATATACTGGTGGTAACTTACAGAGGGAGAAAAAGGTAGAAATAATTAAGAGAAAGCTCCCCAAATAGGTGTTTATAGAACTAGGATCTCCCTAGAAAAGAATCTGATAATGAAAGGAGAGGACAGTGGCTAAGTTAATGATTTTAAGATGAGCTGGACTTGGGCAAGCCAAGCTCGGCACCAGAGCAACAATTGAGCAGCCTTGGCAGCACTGAGCACGCAATGGGGTGGGGTGTGTGGGTGTGCACGTATCTGCTGTCTTCTCTGCTCGATTACAAAAAGAGCCAGAAATCAGCAAATGCTCAAAGAGGACTCCTGTGCAGGAGTGTGGTCCCTCTGAGAAGGCAGGGACCTGAGTGAGGGGCACCTGTGTTGGAACAAAGCCATACTCACCTGAAGCGGGGGTGCTTGTTTATTGCTTCATCAGGAAAGAAGAGCGACTTAGAGGCTCCACCTTCGACCCGATTGGGTTTGAACTCAGGCAGCGTGAACCCCGGGCAGCCTAATCTACAACAAATTTAGGAACTAAATAGATAGGCATTTTTTTCAAGGGTTATTACTCCTGGCAATCACTACACCTGTGCACCTGTTACAATAACTTGTGTGTATTATGCCCCTTTTCAGAGGGTCAAGCACACAGACATTTTGTAATACTGGGCCCCATTACAACCACCTCTCTGCACTTTATCTTATTCACCAAGATGTCCTTTTGTGATGCCAGCCTTCTACTGACCTTGTCAGAGAACTTCCGTTCACACACTGTCTGCAGCACACCCTACCCATCCTTTCATTTAACAGCCATACCCACAGCACAGAAGTCCCTTCCCTTCATCCTGTCAATTGTCAGGAGTTCCAGGTCCCCTTCCCCCCACAGAGCTTCTGAGGCTTCCTCTTTTACTAGCTATAAACTCTCAACTTATTTTTTGACCCCTGCACACTGTCACTGCCTGCAATCTCTGAGTAAGTTTTGCCTGAATTTGAAAGGGGTCTGCTTTTTTTTTTTTATCTCTGCAGGTCACCTCATGAACCCTTCAAGATTAAGGACTGTCCCTACAGGTGTCCTCATCCACCGGAAGCCTGAAACCCGACCCTATTATCTACTGGACCTAAAGAAGTTTTAATTCCAGCCCAGAAAAAAAAAGCACTGGGTGTAATCCTAAATGCAGTGATACCACCAGTCAGTTCTTCAGAATTAAGAATTTTAAGGTCTTTGTTAAGTGCACTGTGAGGGAAGACAAAGACCAACAAGTTGGGGGAAGCAAAACTGGGAAGGCTCTTGACAGGGCTTTGGATCAGTGATGAGAAACTTTTGGTTGAGAGCCAAGACTAGTCTGCCTCATTTTCAACCCCTACCTTTTATAAAATGAAGTGCCAGTTGGCTGAACTTCTGCCTGTGAACAATTGAATTTGCTGATCTTATCTAGAAATAGTTCCCAGGGCTGCTGGGAGCTCCTGCAGTTCTGTGCACTATTTACTGTGAGCCCGTGCCCTTGGGGAAAGGCCCTCAGGGAAGTGACAAACGTGCACCTGGGGGTTCTCAGCCAGCAATTGTTGACCAGGCCAGTCAGAGCTCAGATCCATGCTTCTCCACTAGACCAACCTGCATGGACCGCAGAGCCTCCTGCAGCGCAGCCGGCGGTGTGAAAGCCTGCGGGTCCAACACCAGCGTGGTGGTCACTGGTGCGGTCACTGGCGGCAGGTGGCTACCCAGCCCTGAAATGCGGCTAGTGAATGAGGACTTGGATTGTTCAGTTTTTGTGCATTTGATTACATTTAAATTGACACAGACTATAATTCCACACTACAGTTTTGCCTCTTTACAGAAAGAACAATCACACCGTTTACACTTAAAAAAGTGTAAATAATGGCTTTCTAAATAGATTTTTAGAATAAAACTTTTAGTTTGTCTCAACTCTCCCTCATAATAACTTAAGAAAAAGAAGCTAAATCTTAAAAAGAAAAAAAAGGGGTGGTGGTGGCAACTATTCTATACGGAGCTGTTCTCACAGGTAGAAGACACATTAGATTTAATCAAAAGTTTCCCTTTGTGGCCCACTGCCACAATACTATACACTCCGAATTTTAAAGTATGAGCTAAAACCATTCTAGTTTGTATCACAAATGTCATTTTAAAACTTGCTAAGTAAAAGGCAGAACTCTAATGTTAAGGGGAAAAAGGAAAACCTAAGATATTGACTTTTCCAGTTCCCTGAAACTTGTCAAATGACATCTGTAACATACTTCTTGGCCTTTATTATTCTAAATTTCATAATAATTACTTAAACAACAGCCTTGACATCTCTCCTCTCTGCCCTAGGTTTGTTGATTTTGCAGTCTCTTGATCTCCCCACCCACCTCACGCGTCTGCAACTGTCCCCCTGCCTGAGGGTGCCCCCTTACTCCCCTCCCAGTGAGCCCCGCACTGTCCAACAAGCATGCTGACACCACAGCCCAAGTGAGCACTGCCGAGCTGAACTGTGATGTTCGCTGCCCAACCCAACCTTGCCAAGGTCTCCCATTGCTTTTAGGATAGCAACCAAAATTGTTAGCTAACACAATCTGGCCCACCAGCCATCTATCTGCCCAGCGTCACCTTACCCCATACTTCTACTTCACTCTCAGCATCCTTGGCACACCAGCCTTCTTCCAGTTCTCCAGAGGCTCGTGCTCCCTGGCTCATCCTAGGGCTCGTGTCCATCTGTGCTGCTCCCTCTCCCGAGGACATCCCTTCCCATTCTACTATTAAACTCCCACCAGAACTTGGGGCGTCACTCTAGTCATCCTCCCTGGGAGGGGCCTTCCTCGACGGTGCAGAGGCTGTCAGAGAACCCTGTCACACGCTATTTGCTCCACACCCCTTCACTACTTCCACTCCAGATCGCAGCCCTCACTACGCCGGGTCTGGTGTGCAGCAGGCATTCTGACGTCTGAGTGAATGGCAGTCATGATTTCTTTACCTGCTCCTTCAAACATCAGGGCAAAGGAACATACCAATTCTCTTCCAAGAAACCTGTTCACCCTCAACCAGCTGGGGAGTTTTATTTCTGGCAGGGAGAGGGGCGTGGTCTGCACAAATGGATGAAGGAATCGCAGAAAATAAGAGATGGTTTTCTAAATGTTTGGTGAGTTGCTTAGCATAGATTTCAACTATTCAGATGTGACAATGGAAACTTCAAAAAATTCTTCTTCAAGTGTCCTTCTGAGACCAATGGTATGTATGGCTCTGCTTGTGTTCATTACAAACACTTATCAGAAAAAAAGGAACATTTGAAAGTACGTTCAAACTGTTCCAGGCCATGGATACTAATCCCTACGGATGACCGCCTCCCCTCACCCAGTTCACAGTTAATTCATGTCTATAGTGCCCTGGGGGCACTGATGCCAGCCCTGCAACGGGTGCCCCTTTGATCGGCCACCAACATCATCATTTGCTGGTAGGCAAATGAATGAGAAGAGCCCTTGATAATCATCAGGGACTCAGCGACTCCTTCACGGGGTCAGAGCTGCATGGCATTAGGATGCACTGCTCCCACCACCCTGCTTGGGGTGAATGCTGCCACATGCTAATCAGTCAACCAGTCACTGTGGTCCTCGAGTCCTTCCCACCAGGCCCAGAAGAGGGCTCTCACCACAGTGCTCTAGGCCGCCACCACCCACTGACGCCGGCGTGCAGTTTTTGCCTATAGCTGTAACATCAGAGTCCACCCAAAGCAGGACTGTGCAGAACGACCTGTCTGTAACATATGAGAACTGCAGGGCCAAAGGCTTGGTCACGACGTACTCTCTTTATAAACTAAATGTCTGCCGGGACAGGTTCATGGAGGAACTAACCTGGGAAATGAAGTTATTGTGCAAAGAGCTTGATTTTCTTTTAATAAAGAAGTCGCCTCCTTCCGGCGTTTTCTCATGTTGTCTTCAACTGTGTTGAACTCGGACATGGTCCCTCCATACGGCTGTCCGGGTGTCCCTTCAATCATGTAACTCCCATACTCAGGTCTCCAAAGCGTAGGGTGGCTATAGAGGAGAAAAAAATTCGCTCCATCTTATTCTTTGGCTGCAGTCTATTCAATTTTTAGAAGTTCCTTTGTTTTTTTTTAAAGCTGCCTCAACAATTTTAGAAACTGTTAGGTATAAATGAAGCTAAAAACTTCTTTATAATTCCCGAAGGCCACTCATTTTTCAGTTCTTCAACTACATAAGGGTTGAAAGTACTGGGTCCAAAATATTTATAAATAACTGAACAGGCATACAACAGGGCACTTGCTGTCTAAAACGAGCTCGTCCACTTGGCAGGAAAGAGATCGGGCCTTCAGGGCTCTTTCAGTTCTACGCTGAGGCCCAAACTCAGGCGCAGCCCACCCAAATCTGGTGAGGAGAGGAAGGCCCCTTCGCCTCTGTCTACTTAAATATTTAGTAAACATCTTGCTAGCCAAACAAAACCCGTCTGCAAGTTTTATCTGGTACCATAGTTTGTGATTTCAGTAACGCTATGGCAATTTCTAAAAGCTTAATACTAGTAACAGGCTTTATATTGAGTTTACTATTGTAAGTGTTTTAAGTATGTTAAAGGATTTAAAATGTCAATACCATACATGGTAGATATTATTATTATTCCTACCGTACAGATGAGGAAACTGAGCTGCAGAGAAGTGACGTGACTTGCCTAACAAGGTAACCTGGCCAGTAAGTGTAGGAATCAGAGCCTGGGCTCAAAACTGCTATGCAATCCTGTCTCCTTCACATCTGAAGAAAGAGTCTGTTTTAGTAGTTCCAACAATTTCAAAAACACTAAAACAAGTCTTCAGCTTACTTTGGGTTTGTCCTTTCCCCCTTTTCTTGTAGAGTTTCAAGAAGTTCCTCTCCAAACAGGATCAATTGGACTTTTTCATGTTCATGATCAAAAGACACCAACATGTATTCCACCTATTGAAGAGAGGGAGAGAAAATTGAATGCTCTTTCAGATTGGTGCTCAGTGTGACCTTTAAGAGAAGAAGGCAGGAAAATGTGAAGTTCAGACAAGACCGACAGTAACTTGAGACTGTCACATTGCTTTATACTACAGCAAATAATAAAGTGTTTGCATAATGTGGAAACCTAGAGAAAATGGTCAATGGTGGCATTGTGTGAGGACAAGAACTCCTGTATCTCGATTTCCTCTTTCCTGTGTTCTACTCGATATCCTCTACAGAAAGGTTGAGATGCCATGTTGACAAATTATACTTCAAGAGAGAGGTATTTCAAAGCTGAGATTCTTTACAGCTGCAAGAAGTCCAATTTTTTTCAACTTTATTTTATTTATTTTTACTTCATCTTTACTGTATTCTTTTCCACTACCATTTAGTCCCCTTATGCCCCCCCCCCCCCCAGCAGCCACCACACTGTTGTCCCTGCTCAGCTGGCTTACTCTACGTTTATGGAGGCGGTTATCTGGGCATTCTGATCAAGGTACATTATCCTTACTCACAGGCAGTTTATTTAATAATCCCAGTGTAAGCCCTACTATTGGAGAGTTCAACATACCAATATGAAGCAGTTATTTTAGGAGTTACAACCTATTAGTTTGGGCTTTTCAAAAATAATATAAGACAACTTTCCGACTCTGAAATCAGATTAAATTGACAATGCAAGGTGCACTAGTGCATCTACAATACCTGAGGGAACTCTGATAAAAATCAAGAGTTCAATACCAAAGTAAGACTTTTCTGGGCAGAGTACAAACAGAACTTGCTTTTGTTTTCCCTGAAAGCACATACTTTAGATCATCATTAGTGATAATAAACAGTGAAGATTATGGATCATTGTGGTTGAAATAAAACACACATTATGTGTATGTAAGGGAAAGGTATGGAACTGGATCATTCAGGCAAACGTTTGCGAGTGCTTTTTGCACAAGACAAAGAGGAGGAGGCAAAATGATGCTCCATGAGACAGACCAGTGCACAGATAGGTTTTGTTTGGTTTATCCTAATATTTAAATTAAAATTTTAAAAAAGGCTAGCAACAACATATCTACTACCTGCCTGATAGTTCACATGTGAATCCAGACTCTGGAGTCCTGCAGGGCTGGGGCCGGGCTGCTCTCCTTTGAGGGGGCGCATGTGGTCTGCAGGGGACTATTCCCTCATTTATGTGCGTCTGCCCAGTCTTGGAAGGCATTTACCCAGACATCCCTATCATAGACATGGTAATGATCAGAAAACTGTTTTGCCCTTTAGCTAAGAAATACAATTATGAAGGGGAAAAAAGTTAGTAATGATAGGAAATAGCCTGGCAGGTTTAAACAACAGAAAAGTATACTTTCCATTAACTTTTATTAGTTGTTGCTATGGACTGAATGTTTGTGTCCCCCCGGCAATTTGTTTGTTGAAGCCCTTACTCTCCAGTAAGGGTGTTTGAGGTGAGGCCTTTTGGGTAATTAGGTCAGGAAAGTGGAGTCCTCATGATGCAATTAGTGCTCTTATAAAAAAGGATGAGGCCCTGGTGGGCAGTTCAGTTGGTTAGAGCATCTCCTGATGGGCCAAGGTTGTGGGTTAGATCCCCCATCAGGGCTTATACAAGAAACAACCAGTGAATGCATAAATAAGTGGAACAACAAATCAATGTTACCCTCTCTCTCTAAAAACAAAAATTTTAAAAGAAAGAGAGATGAAAAATGATCTCTCTTCTCAACCTTTGAGGACACACCAAAAACACAGCCATTGGTAAGCCAGGATGAGGGCCCCTTACTTGGAACTGAATCTGTCAACACCTTTGACCTTGGACTTCCCAACCTTTTAAACTGTGAGAAATAAACCTCTGTTGAAGCCACCCAGTCTATGGTATTTTTTACAGCAGCCTGAACTGACAAAAAAAAAAAAATGAGTTTAAGTTCCTATTCATATTCCTCGATTAGAATTTTTTACTTGGGGGAAAAAAAAAGTAAGACTACTTGATTTTGGTACACGAACCAGAAATGTGAAATTTGTACCTATACAATCACTCAATGTCAAATGCCTGAAACCTGTAGGCTGTAAAATCTGGAAGTACTCCCAGTTTTAAGTACAGGTTTTCAGATAACATCTACAGATCCAGGATTCCTGAAGAGCTAAAACATGATGGAACAGGAAACTTTAAGTCTCAGGATGGGTATATAAAAATATAGGTATGAGAAACAAATTTATTTTTAAATGAGCAAAATGAGAAAAGGTATAACATGAACTTTTCATATATGGATCCTAACCTTCAAACCCATCATGCAAAGCAGGCATGAACACCCTTTTTACAGATGGGCAAAGAGGCTCAGAGATGCTAAGTTTCCCAGGGCCACAAGTACTAGGGCAGTGATTTGAGCCCAGCTTCTCTGGACTCAAGGCCCAGCACACCTTGCTGCTAGGACTATAGAGGATGCCAGTCTTGGTTAGTGATAAGCTTTTAAAAAATTGTTGTAAGCTATATGAAGAAAAGAAAGGTTATAATACTGCCTGAAAAATCTCTCAAATTGACTACGCTTCAATTTTACAAAGTGGGCGTGACATTGTATCATAGTAGCTGAGATGTAACAGTTCACGGTTATAGATTTAAATAGAGGGGCCAGCCCATCTCTCAGGCCCAGGACAGAGCACACTATGCAGCATTCCTAACTTTCCCAGTTAGAAGGAATCTTCTTCAGCACTTCCTCCTTCCATCACCAGTTCCAACACATCTGCTATCGGGATTAAGTTATCTTCTTCACCAGATAACCTGCTTCCTGAAGATGAAAAGAAACTTCCCAGCATACTGGGTTCCCATCATTCACTATTACAATGAGCAAGAACTTTTACACCAACTGTATAACCTCAAATGCAATAATAACTTTTGTTAGTTTACTAGTTCTGAAATAGTTGAAGTCCCTAGTTTTCAAAAACACTCTTAGCCTACAATTTAGAGCATGGGAAAGGCAAAAAGAACAAAAAGCTTAAACTCAGTCTGAGTTTTAAATATCAGCCAAATGAATGACATTTAAAATACTAACAAACCAAATTCTCCTTAAAAAATAATCATTCATGATCTCATTAAGGAAATGAAGTAGAAAAACATCAGAATATTTATCAAGTGGGAAAGCAAAACAAACTTACTGTTAGTAGCCTTAAGAATTCCCTAAAGATTTCTCAAACTCAAATTTAAGGTGTTCTAAAGTAATTGCCCCCTTTCTGCACAAGTGTTCAAAATGGTTCTTTAACCTTTTGGCTTTCTGTTATTTTGTTTAATCCTTTCCCCACCAACTTCAATACATTTATGTTTATTTCCAATTCTAGTTCATGCACTCAAATAATTAATTCAATCTTTAAGAGTCAAACTAGAGCTGAACTGGATTTTGGTTCAGTAACCTAGTTGTTAAGAGATAATAAAAAGTGATACAATAAGATAATCCTTTCCCAGTATAAAATACCTACAACCACAGTAATTTATTTTCCTGTTTCTGGATTTTTTTCCCCAACCTAAATTTAAACGATGCATTTTTGCATTTAAACGATGAGAGGAAAAGACAAAACTAAAGAGAAAATAACAAAACAGGATGGAGAGGCCCTTCTGCACACAACACAGATTCTAAGGATTAACTGGCACCGGCTTCCTGACTTCGAGTATCACGCAGGCTGTTCACCCAGGGCCATAGCAACATCACATGCGGCGCACATGCACACTGCGAGGAGCGTATGCCCAAGGAGCATTATTAATGGACTGCAGAGCGACTGATTCAAGTTTGTATAATTACCACATCATTTGGAAGAAGCAAAAATAGTACTATTCTCAGTGCACAGACTACAATGCCCTGGATGTACCTGTGGAACACTACTATTTGGTGCCCATCAGTTATCTCTTTAAACGGGGGAGAATAAGCCCTATAAAAATAACCTACCTCTCCTTGTGAGACACTCAATTTTTTAAATGTACACAATTTTTTCTACAAATGAAAATCAAAGTCCTTTACATTTCACCGCCAATGGGCTTAAGTGGCTCAATTTTACCCCCCTAGAAGATTAGTGATAATCACTAATGAGCTGCTGAATCAAAGACAAAGGCACATTCAAAAGGCTATCATACAGTTTACAGTTACATACTGTTGGTAGGAATGGACTGGACAGAGTAACTCTCTAGTCATTTAATACAGGTTTGGACAAGCACAAGGTGCCTTACGCTCATCTGAAATTAGGCCAATAAATATAATCTTAATTTAGGGTGATGTAAGTATCCAGTACATTGCTGAACACAAACTGTGAAATACTCAAGGCATTCAAGTTCAAGATAACAGTTAAAATATTAACTGTTAATATCCCAATATTAAAACTTTTAGTATTTATGTTGTCTTTAAATGGCATTTAACCATAGTTCAAAATCAAAGTTTTCCTTTTTAATAACAAAAACATTTCTGATACTCTACCATTAAGGTAAGGGTTTCAGGTAGAGCTTAGAATTTAAGGAATGGCTCGACATTTTATGAAATACAAATTTTAAAATTTCTGCTCTCTGGAGGTGAAAGCAGTGCTTCAATAGGAAAACAATCTAGTTCTATATGACCCAGAAGCAGTTATAGGCAGTTCCCTACTCAGAGAGGTTATACTCTAGTCTCGGGCCACCCTACTGAAATCCGAATTCTGGGTGCGGGGCCAGCTCCTTCATTCACTGCTGGCTTTCTCCCACTGGCCCAAGCCTGCAGTCCTGAGTCCTGCTGGAACCACCTGCTGCTTCTCAGAGACCCAGTTTTCTCCCTACACTAACTCGGAAAAAAAAAGCCCACTGCCGTTTTGAGGGTTAAGGCTCTAGTGACAGTTGATTACTGAATCAGTGCCAAAAAAGCATCTTGCTGTCTCCCTCTCCTGTGCCCACCTCCCTTACTCCCCCACCTACCTTGTCCCTTCACCCCCTCAAGAAAGCCCTGTGCTGGGAATACTGTGGAGGGCCAGGC